TTCAATAAAAGTACATAACAGGAACCTGTGCCAATTTTAAAGGTTTCCGGTCTATAACAAAAGTTTTGGTCGTCTGGCCGACGGCGGATGTTAAAAAACAGAAAAGAAAAAATTCATTTTCCCTGTCCTTTTAAATTATACCGAATAGAGTTTAGAGTAAAAAAAGAAATTGAATTGGGGTAATAGCTACTGTGTGTTTGTTTGTTGTAAGGTGTTTTTAAAAAAGTTTATTTAAAAGAGATATGGTTAATAAAAAATTATTTTGAAATTTATTGTCTCAGAAATTAGTTAAGAATTATTTATTTTTTTTGGGAATTGTTTTGAAAATTAAAAATATATTTGGGGGAAAAATTAAGATAATTTAAACTACTGAAACTATATTTTTTAATTAAATGTTCAAACTGATATTTTCTAATAAATTTTGAAGGAGGGGGTTTAAAACTAGATGAATTATAAAAAAGAAAGATTCTCTGGAAAACCGTAATTTAGAAATAGCTAAAAATATTAAGGTTGTATGTAAGTGAGAATCAAAACAATTATTTACTTTCGTTTGAATATAAGTTGAATTGTTATAAATTAAAGTAATATATGTAGGTATACTTCAAAGGGTATGATTTCTGAATTTTAAAAATAAGAGATTTCTTTTTCATATTTTAATAACTTTATGTTTCCCTTTTTTACTAAATAAATGAAAAAGAGATTTTTGGTAACTAAAAAAACTTTTTACGAACATAAATAATTACTGGAATTACAAATAAAGTCATTTAAAGGAATTAGACTGAGCCAACAAATAATCCATTTAGCTTTTTTACTTCAAATCTCTTAAAATATTTATTTTCTAAAAATGAGTTTTTCTTTCATTTTCTTTTTGGTTTATGCCCTCCCTCCCCTCCTTCAATACTTTTTAATGGCGTGACTAAAAAATGACGCCTTTGGGGACAAAGAACATTTCCATTTTTAAATAATGCTTAAAAATCTTTTGGTTTGTTTATGCATTTTTAAGTATCATTGGCAAAAAGGAAGTGAATTTTGTAACATTTTTTAAAATTAAATATAGGTAAATATTGGAGGTTATTATTGGGGGGATGACTTTAATTGAATAAAATTTTAATGAAACTCCAAGTCGTTTGGGTACTGGGAGTCTAAATAGAAATTATGTCAGGACTTTTATAAAAAACGTTTAAGTAATTTACCTTAAATAGAAAATAAGGATATTCTTTCTTTAAATGAACCTACAAATTTAGTAATTTAAAACAAATTTAAAACGAAAATGGCTTTTCTCTTAATTATAAAAACACAATTTTTCCCAAATTTAGAACATTTCTAAATTAGGCAGCTGTCACTCCCTCCATTTAACCACACCTCTCACGCACACAATTTTCTCTTGAAATTTGTATTTTGAGAAAATTTTAATATTGAAATAAAAGTGATTGAATTTTTGATAGAAATTTTTAAAAATTTATACAGGATTTTTTGGTAGAAGGAAAGAGGGGAGGGAGTGAAGTAAGGGTGGGGGAGGGTGGAAATTTTTATTTGTAATTTAATTTTTTGCTGCAATTAAGGAAACGATTCCGGATATTTTAAAAGTATTAGATGCCTTTTTTATTTAATTTTTAAAATAGTGTTTTTCTGTTTTTTAAACTTTATTTTATTTTTAAATTCGCATTCTTTGCCATTTTCTGTTTTTTTTTTAAATTTTCTCTTAAATTGGAAAGAGATTCTATTATCTCCAAATTTTTATGCAGATATAGTTTGAGGAACAATATTTTTTACTACTAAAATTAAAGTTTTTTTGAAAATTGTGAATTGGACTGAAAAGTAAATGTGTAGAAGTGAAAATGAACTTTTTTGGTTATTTTTCCCGGAAATTTGATTTGTGTGCGTTCTGCTTGGATAAACTATTTTGAAGGGGAAAGGGGGGGGGAGACTTGTTAAATAACGGAAATGAATAAAAGGACTTAATGAATAAAATTTTAAAAAATACTCGTAAAAATAAAAAAAATTAATTTCTTTGTTTAGGCATATAAGTAAATTTTGGGATATGTATAATTTTGGAAAATAATAGTAGATTTATTAGCTATAGGTTTTCTACTTATCTATAATACATATATTTAAAATATAAATTTGGTAAATAAATTAGTTTTTCCTTTAAAATAGTCTCAAGTCGTTTAACTTAAATAGAATTTAAAAAATTTAAATTAGTAAGAATTTGTTTTTAATGAGTATTCAATTTCAAGAAAAAGTTCTAAAAATATTACAAAAATGAAATTTTCTTAAAATTTTGTTGTCTGTCCCTTGCTTCGGTTGACTGAAAATTTATGTTTCTAAATTTGGAAAAAATCGGTAAATTCTTAACACATTTACTTTTCTCTCTTCTTTTCCTTATTTTATTGGGGATAATTAGAATAATTTGTGTGTGTGTTTGGAATAAAAAGTAATAAAAGGTTGCCATACAAAAATAAAATAGAATAAGTAAGTTAAAAATAGTAAATTGTGTAAAACATCATTTTACTTTTTGATTTTTAAAAAAGAAGGCATGGGGAAGGTAGGCCTAACTTTTTGGTAATCATACTCAAAACTAGAAAAAGTTGTTAAATCGAGTGTGTTTGAAATTTTGTTTAGGCAACAATCAAATAAATGAGGGATCTAATATTGTATGTATATATAAGTAAGGTCCGTCTAAATGTTGCTCGATAAATATTTAGCTTTAGTATATCAAGAAAATTTTTTGAATTTTTTAAATTAAATTAAATGTTGAGTAATCTAAAAATTTTGTTTTAGATAATTTTTGCTATTTTTGCCTTTATTTATATACTAATTTCTATATTTGGAGATTTCTTTTTTCTATTAAAAAAATTAAATTTAAATTAAATAAAGCAAAAATATCTAATTTCTAAAGAAAATGTAGCGGAAAAAGAAATTTAATAAAATCTTAAAATAAATGCGCGGAAATTTAAAAAATTAGGTAACTAAAAATAAACGAGATTTTAATTGTATTTTGCAACTTAAAATAATTAATTTTAAATAAATTGTGTTCTTTTTTGGAAATTTGATTAAATAATAGAATTAATGAAAAAATATTTTTTGGGGAATTTTTGTAGAAAATAAATTTATTTTTAAATTTAATGTTTGACGTTTTAATTTATTTTTGTTTTTGAAGGTTTTATTTTAAATTTTCTATTTTAAGAAAATTTTGAGAACTTATTTTTTATAATAATATTTTTTCGGAATTTTTGAAGTATTTGGGGCTATGGAAAAAATTATTGCAGAAAAATATTAGACAATTTCGAATTTAAAAATTTATTTTGATAAAATAAATTTTTTTAACCAATAAAAAAAGTTTAAGAATATTTTTAACTACATACTATGTTATAATTGCCTTGTTTACAAAGTTTTTTTAAGTGAGGTCGACCTTGCGGCTTTTATCGACAATTGTTCGTTTAAGCGTGTTTTTATAGGCTTTTTTGCTATTTTTTTTGAGGGATCCATCAAATAAATAAATATCCATCATTCATCCATAAATATTTTCGTTTCTAGAGGGCAATTTAAAGAAAGAAAAGTTTGAAGTAAATGTGTGTGTTTGTTTACTGTTTTTCTGGCCTGAAATTTTATAATGCCTTAAAGTGTTTTGATATATAGCTATTTTTGGATTGAGTTTTTTCTACATTTTTTTTATTTTGGAAAAGGGAATTAGGAAAATAATCTTAATGATTTATAGAGATTTTACAAAAAAATTATTTTTATTTCTGTTTGGAAGTATATAGTACATGTTTGGTTAAAAAATAAATATAGAATAAATTTAACTTTTAAAAGTGTATATGTATATAATGATAATTGATATAATATTTACTAGGAATTACACAAATAGCTAGGAGTGAATTGGGTTTGATTAATTCCGTGTCAAAAAGTCTGGATTCAGGACAGATCGGTTTCTAGTAACTCGGCCTATTCCTGGTATGTACTAGTAAAATAGTACATGTTTACTATATTTTCTATATTCCTTTGCTATATTAAAATATTTAAAAACTTTCACATTAATACATATAAAATGTTAATGATGATTTAATATTAAAGTCACTGGAAATTATTAACTTTGGTTCTTGGTTCTTTCTAGAAATTCTTTGGATTCTCGCGTTTTGTTGTTGTGAATATTTAATGATTAATCTATGTATTTTTTAAGGAATATTTTTTGAATTTCCTTAGAATTTCCTGACCTTTCACGGCTTGAAATGGGGAGGATATAAATTGTTTGAATTTTTTCTATTAATCCCTTTATATCTTCTTTATTTAAAAAATATTTTTATTTTTTAAATATTTAATTAGTATATTTTAATAAAATATTTAAAGAAACTGGTCATTAAGTTAAATATTTATTTATATATTAATTGCAGAAAAAGCCAAATTTATTTAAAATTAATTATTATTTGCATGCGCCTACTCTATTTAAAAAACTAAAAAACTTTTTTCTGAAACATTTTCTTTTTCTTTATTCTATTTATAGACATTCCCAAGAATAAATTATTTTTTGAGCTTTAATAAAACACAAAGAAAAAGTTTGGAAATAAAAAAAATATAAATAAATAAGGAATAAAAAAAGGTTTTTGTGTGCAAATAAAAATTGAATTTGATTTTTGGAGAATATATTTAAATAATTGAATGATTAAAGATTAGAAAAATAAATTTGAAATTTCAAATTTTTATTTGGTGATTAAATTAATTTAACTCCCCTTTTTTAAATTAAAAATTAATTTAAAAAATTTTAGGAAAATCAACTAATCATCTTTAGTGATGAAACAACCCCTCGTTATATAACATCAATATGTTTATTAGATTATGATACAGTTGCTTGTGCTGATCGTTTTGGGAGTATAGCTATTGTAATTACAAAATAAATTAAATAAAAAATTTAATTCTTTTTAAAGCTTCGATTACCAAAAAATTTGGTTGAGGAGGTTCAGGAAGACCCTACAGGCGTTCGGGCACTTTGGGACAGAGGAAATATGAATGGAGCTTCTCAAAAAGTTTTTTTGAGTTTTTTAAAAATAAATTTATTTTTTAAAGTTGGAATTAATTGCACATTTTTATATTGGAGATTTAGTAACTAAATTACACAAAACAAGTATTGTCCCTGGTTCTGATGATTCTTTAATTTATACAACAATTTCTGGTTCAATTGGAATGCTTGTTCCTTTTATTTCGAGAGATGTAAGGAGAGGGAGGGAGAAGGGGAAGGGGGGATTTTGGAATTTAAATGTAAAAATTTTTTTAAAGGAATTTGAATTCTTTCAAACACTCGAAATGCATTTACGTGTTGAGAATCCGCCTCTTTCTGGTCGGGATCATTTGGCTTATCGATCTTTTTATGCTCCTTGTAAGGTAAAAAATTAAATAATTTTTTAGTTAATATTGGCCTCTTAAATTTCTTAGAAAGATCAAACTAAAAATACAAAAAATGTTTTTAAAAATTTGTGTTAAATACACAAAATCCTAAAAGAGTTTGTAGACTTTGAATTTATTTTTAAGTTTTGTTTTTTTGTAGTATTTCACAAAAAAACTTTCTCTTTTTTTTTTGATTTATTATTTTTCGATTGATAAGAAAATCATGCGATTATAGACACACGTTTTAAAAATTAATTTTTTTATATTCTAATTACAAAATAGAGAGAGAGAGAGTAGGGAGAGGAATGGGGAATTTCCCTTTTATTTTTTTATTTATTATTTAATTATTTCCCCAAATTTCATCATTCCTCCCCCTTTCTTTTTAAAAAATTAATTTTTAAATATTAGTTTGTTGTTGATGGCGATTTATGTGAACAATATTCTACATTAGATACAGGAAAACAGAGAGAAATAGCTTCTGCTCTAGGTTTACAGCCTGGGGTTGTTGTAAAGAAATTGGAAGATTTGAGAACGCGTTATGCTTTTTAAAAGAATTTTTTTTGGGAAAATTGTTGTTTTTATTTTATTTTTTTTGCAATTTTAAATTGGCCCTCATATCCATTTTATTTTTTTATCAATGATCTGAAAATTAAAATTTGGAATTTTTTAAAGAATTTTTTGTTATTAATTTGTTATTTGACATTTATTTATTTATTATTTATTTATTTTATTCTTTTTTTTTTAATTCAAGTTTTTTAACGGAATTTGGAGATTAAATCTAAAAATTAAAATCCCGTTAATAAATATATTCTTTTGGTTTACTAAAATATTTTTTAGAAACTCTTTGGAAGAGACAAAATTTATTGGGAGAACTGCCAAAATATATTCAGTTCAGTCCTTCCATTATTTTCTTTTAAATTTTGTTCTCAATCCATTAATATTTTTTAAAAATATTTTTAGAATTTCAAAAAAAGAATTCAAAACCATTTTCTTTTTTATTAATTAAAAATGTCTGTTACAACAGTTACAAAAACGCAATCTTCCAAAAAATTGCCTTATAAAGTTGGTAGGTTTTTCTCAAAATTTGTTATTTTAAATAAACATTTTTTTATTTTTAGCGGATATTTCACTTGCTGATTTTGGACGTAGAGAAATAATAATTGCTGAAAATGAAATGCCAGGACTTATGGCTATGAGAGTAATTTTGATTTTTAGAAAAATTTTTGTGAAAATTAATTTTTAAAGGAAAAATATGGCACCCAAAAGCCGTTGAAAGGTGCCCGTATTGCTGGGTGTTTACATATGGTGATTGAATAAAAATAAATATTTTATTTAAAATTTAATTTTAGACTGTCCAAACTGCTGTTTTAATTGAAACTTTGTTGGAACTTGGGGCTGAGGTTAAGAGAAAATATTTTTTAAAAGTAATTTAAAAATAGGTTCAATGGTCTTCTTGCAATATTTTCTCTACTCAAGACCATGCTGCTGCAGCAATCGCTGCTAAAGGTATTCCTGTATATGCTTGGAAAGGTGAAACTGAGGAAGAATATGAATGGTGTATTGAACAGGTAGAGGAGAATAAATAAATTTAATTGAATTGAATTTTTAGACAATAATATTTCCAAATGGCCAACCATTAAATATGATATTGGATGATGGTGGAGATTTAACAAATTTAGTTCACAATAAATACCCAGAATTATTAAATAAAATAATTGGAATAAGTGAGGAAACGACAACCGGAGTACATAATTTGGCTAAAATGTTGGAAAGTGGGGAATTAAAAGTAGCTGCAATAAATGTTAATGACTCTGTTACAAAATCTAAATTTGATAATTTATATGGAATACGGGAATCTTTGCCTGATGGAATTAAGAGGGCAACTGATGTTTGTAGAAAGAAAAATTTTTTTTTAAGATTATTTCTTTTAGGTAATGCTTGCTGGAAAAGTAGCCGTTGTGTGTGGTTATGGAGATGTTGGTAAAGGTTCAGCTGCTGGTTTACGTAATTTTGGTGCTCGAGTAATTATTACTGGTAAAATTTAGTTTTCTTTTTTAAATTTCAAAAAATTTAAAAAGAAATTGATCCAATAAATGCTTTACAAGCAGCAATGGAAGGTTATCAAGTAACAACGTTAGAAGATGTTATTGAGCAAGCACAGATTATAGTAACAACAACTGGCTGTAAAGATATTGTACGTGGAGAACATATTGAAAAATTACCTGAAGATGCTATTATTTGTAATGTAAGTTAAGGGAGAGAGTTATTTTATAAAAGAAAATTAAAAAAATAACAAACACAAACAAAAGTACCCTTTTTCCTAATATAAGCACACCCCTTGTATACAAAGCATGTACAGCTTTTGTTTAGACTTTTTTATATTTAATCTTGATTAAATGGATTCCATTTCCTAGTTCGAAAATTAATAATTGTAGGTTGATATTGAAATCCCCGGAAAAATTAGAATAATGCAATTTAAAAAAATTTTACATTTAAAATCTTCTAAGTGTATGATATTATTAGAATTTTGAGCAGTAGTTCGGGAGATGAAGAAATCTTGTGTTTTATAAGCAAGTTGATGAAAAGACACATTGAAACCGGCTAAGGAGGTTAAAACAAGGCGATCAAAAAAATTGAGTTTGAAACTAAAGTACGTCCGACCCCAATTTTTGCCCTCCCTTAGATTTTCTCGTCCTTACTCAGGCTTGAACTTGAGATCCTAATACTTACAAGGACTGGCTAAGGTTAAAACAAGGCATTCAAAGAAATTAAGTTTGAAACTACAAATCCAATACGAGGAAATCTATCTAGCAAACAAGATAATATTTTTATTTATTACATACAAAAAAGACAATTATCACTATTATTGAGAACAATACAAAGGCAAACAAATATCACTATACAATATAATCAACAGCAAAATAAGAGTGGCATTTATCTTCTTTTATTCAGCTGGACCAGTCAAACGCCGGGTGAAGGCTGCAGCGTCTCCTCTTTGCCACTCGCCGGACCATCTCTCGCAGCCAATCGTAGTCGAGTTTGTCGACGTAATGCCGTTTTGCTAAGTACGACATGATGTGTCGAAATTCACCGAACTTGAAAAAGGGAAAAAGAAAATTAGTATTAAGCATTTCTTATAGCACCTCCTGCCCTGGGAAGAGTGTTGACGGATTTGCGAAAACACCTTCTTTCATTTCCCGCACGTTGTTGAGGTTCTCTTCTTCGTACCATGGCAGCTTGTTCTTATTGATCATGTCGGCGAGCATGTAAAGCCAACTCTCACAGTCATCCTTGCGGCCAGACTCCTCGCTTCTGTGCATGGCCAGTGGAGCGAACCGAATTGTTCCTTTGAATCTGACCTGGAAAATCATAAAAAGATTATTCAAATAGGGATTTAACAATCAAAGAATATTGCGAACTAGCCTTGGACCGGGGGATGGCAACCGTCCCATCAGCGCCCACTATCTTCCTGCTGAGACCAAAATCCACAACGTATACCACATTCTGAGAACCAGTTCTGGCCAGCCCTAAAACAAAGTTGGCAGGTTTGATGTCCCGATGAACAAATCCGAGCGCGTGCATGTCCTTGATTGCTTCCAGAGTTTCGAGGGCGCAGTACAGTCCTGTGTTCATACTAAACAGGGAAAGTTTATTAATGACAAACTCACATAGACTACCTGAAGATTTTGTGCGCTCGCCGATACTTGAGATCCTCAAGTGATTCGCCTAGAAGCGACATCACTATGAACATGAACGACCGCACCTCAACGCTCCTGTCGTACAAAATTGGGAAGTGCTTCTGCTGCTCCTTTGACACTCCTTTGGCTGCTTCCAGTACTCGGATCTCCATGACAAGCTTAAAATGGTTGCGTCTCGGATTTCGTCGCTCCTCCTTCATTGCGAACAGGCCCCCTTTCCTCCAGTCCGCCTTGACCTTGTACACAGCTCCAAATCCTCCATATGAGATGCTCTCCACGACCGTGTACGAACGTCCACTTTGACTGGAATTAAAAAATAGTAGGACAAATACTCAATTAAGCTTATAAAGAAAAATTTACCAGTTAATCTGCTCGCCTGGATCTCTGCCCGCGAAGGAGTACTGCGACACGTGTGACGATGGCATTGAACGGTGGTGCAAAAGCGGCGTTGATGCAGTGAGTTGTCGATGAACGGTGGTGCAAAAATGGCGTTGATTTGAAGGTAAATTCATTTTGGCTTGGCTTTTATATAGACTGTTGAGACGGGATTGGCTGCGAGAGATGGTCCGGCGAGTGGCAAAGAGGAGACGCTGCAGCCTTCACCCGGCGTTTGACTGGTCCAGCTGAATAAAAGAAGATAAATGCCACTCTTATTTTGCTGTTGATTATATTGTATAGTGATATTTGTTCGCCTTTGTATTGTTCTCAATAATAGTGATAATTGTCTTTTTTTGTAAGTAATAAATAAAAATATTATCTTGTTTGCTAGATAGATTTCCTCGTATTGGATTTGTAGTTTCAAACTTAATTTTTTTGAATGGCTTGTTTTAACCTTAGCCGGTTTAAATGTTGAAGTATACCCGTGTTTAGGTCTAAGAGTCGTTGATTATGTTTTAGTTGCACTAATAGAATCAAAAATTTTTGGTAGGGACAACAGAAATTGCCTTTGTTGTTTTTGAGTCTTATTAGGACCAGCTCCAAAATTGGATATAGTATAGTATACCGGAGGCAAAATTTCGATACAAAACACATACCATTCGATTCGACTCGGCGAGCTGAGTCGAATGACACCAAAATCACCGTGATTGAACAAGATTAGACAAAGTTATGACACAAAAAACAAAAAAAACCTAAACCTATGGGGCGACGGCGAGGCGCTTGTGCAAAACCCCGCGCTTCGCGCGGGGTTTTGCGGCACGCGCCTCGCGGGGAGTCTACGGGCGCTGGGTCTGGGCTCGTAACATAAATCTATATCTATCTCCCTTGCTCTGGACGTATTTGGGGCCTCCGTAGCAGCAAAAATCTCCACAAATGCCATAGGTAAGGAGCTAAAATAAAAGATCATAACTTTGTCAAATCAAGTTGGATTTCATTGATTTTGGTGTCATTCGGCTCCGCTCGAGGATGCTCTTTCAAATGAGCTATTATTTACATGTTCGAATTTTTCACCCCAAAATTGTGCTTACTCCCCCCTATGGTTTTTCGATTTTCGGGGACCTATATCTCGGTTCATAGGCATTTCCGTGAATAGAGAATGGTACCACTCCATTCAGCTCGCCGAGACGAATCGAATGGTATGTGTTTTGTATCGAAATTTTGCCTCCGGTATACTATACTACAGCCCCAAAATTTACCAATGTCCACAACTTTTTTACCATACATTAAAAATACTTAATTTTTAATTTAAAATAGGTTGGGCATTTTGATTGTGAAATAAATGTTCAATGGTTAGAAAAAAATGCAGCAAGTAAAGAACAAGTTAAACCACAAGTTGATCGTTATACTTTAAAAAATGGAAAACATATAATTTTATTAGCAGAAGGTCGATTAGTTAATTTAGGATGTGCTACTGGACATGCTTCTTTTGTTATGTCTACTAGCTTTACTAATCAAGTTATTGCACAAATTGGTTAATTTATTATCTAAATTATTTTACTCGTATACCTTACATTAATATAAATTTAATTTTAAAATTAATTTCCCTTCCATAATTTCGAATTAGCTTGAATTATTTTGAAAATTAAGTGATTTATTAAAGATCTTTTTTTAAAAATTAGAATTATATACAAAAGCAAATACTCCAAATGCTTACAAAACTGGTTTATATGTTTTACCTAAATTACTTGACGAGGAAGTAGCTAGACTTCATTTAGCTAAGCTTGGTGTTAAATTAACTAAATTGACTGATGAACAAGCAAAGTAATTAATTTAAATTTAAATAAAAATCAATTTTATTTTCCTCAGATATTTGGGTATTCCAAAAGAGGGACCTTTCAAGGCTGATCATTATCGTTATTGAATTTGTGGGGAAAGTGGAAATGAATATAAATAAATTGTTTTGATATAAATTTTGGATTTTAAAATTTTTCTACGGGATTTAATTATTTAATTTGTTGAAGAATATTTAAAATTTTGAATAAATTTTGGACTGGTTTTTAATAAAATTTGTTTTAAATAGGTATATTATTTTTGTATCAACCTTTTAACGAATTTTAAGTTTATATATCTATAATTCTGCTCAGTTTCTCGATCATTAGAAATTTTGATGAAAATTATTTTTGTCTCCAATTTTTAATATAGCCTTTATTTACGTGCATTAAAGTCGTTTCCTTGGTTGTTCTTTTCTTGAGCAAAGAAAAGGAAACAATAAACATATTTTTTACTTGTCAAGTATATGCAGGGATGGCCGAGTGGTCTAAGGCGCCAGACTCAAGCAAAGCTTGCCCAGGTTCGGGTATTCTGGTGGGCGTATGCCCGCGTGGGTTCGAATCCCACTTCCTGCAAATATTTTTTGCTTTGCAATGTTATAATTATTTTTATATTGTTGAATGCATATTTAATTTAATACAATCTCACATGATTAAAATTCATTGTAATCGTTTAACTTTTAATTTTTGGGATAATTTTCTAAAAAAATATAAAAGCCTATAAAATCTAGCACAATTACTTCATTCTAAATCGGATAATCGTCAACGTAAGTTACTTTATCGTTTTTATTTGACAAAAATAAATTTTTTAGTCTAAACAACGGCAAAATCTTCACTTCAAAAATGACTACCGCAATAGTCGTTGCTGAAGCACAGCCAATAGTCTTGAAGGAGCTTTCCGCTGATTACACAGAACAGTTGGGCACAACTATGTTGGCAATCTTGGACACGATCGAACAGACACGACGGAAGGCTCGGCAAACCTATTTGGACATCAAGGAGTTCTATGAGGGTAGTGAGAAGATACAGAAAATGGTAAAGTATTGAGGAAGTTTTTGAATATACCTATTTCTTTAGTTGACTGAGGCATTATGGGACAAGTCTGAAATGAAGGAAGGCCATGCAATTGATCGAGTTGAGTTGCAGGAGCTCTATTTCAGTAAGTTGAGAGATTAACAGTAACCAAATAAATTCCTTGTCTTTTCTTTTTTCAGGTATGACAGTAATGATCTTCTCTCTAACTCTCGGAACTCTTGTTGGCAATCTTTGGACAGAGCTTGATTGGCTTCCACAGCTTGGTATCTTCCATGCGCTTGTAGGGATTGGGGCGCTTCTCTCCCGAATTTGGCATAAACTCAATCAATGCCCTTCTGATCCAAAAGAGCGTGTACATCGTTCGCGTCTCTACATTGCTTTGCTGGCTTTGGGTTTTTGCCTTGGACGTTTGTGTAGTTATTTGTTGCCAGTGATAGCACCGAGATTGCTTGCTCCGTTCGTGATTGCTTTTTTGGTGAATTTAAAGAATTTATCTTGAAAAACTCCTTCCAATCTCCTTTTAGATTGACAGCAAGCTGAAGTTGACTCGTGGTGGTCGTGTTGAATTCTTCATTGCCTTTGCTGTGCTGATGATTGTGGGGAGTTGGCTTCTTCTGTTTGTGTGTAGACAGACTAGCTATTTCAATATCCTTCTACTGTTCATTGTAATTGCTGTCAAGATTGGCTTCTTCTATGGACACTTCCAAGTAACAACAACTCTCCAAATTCTTTTCAAAACCTCCTCCCCTCTCTCTCTTTTAGATCATCTACTATATCCACTGTGCCCACACGGACGAACTTCGCAAACAAAAGGAAGCATCAACAAAAGAAGATAAGGCTAAAACCCCTCCAGACCAACCGCCAAAGGGTGGATGTTGCAGTGGAGATGGAAGCGCCGCTCCTGAAGAGGAAAAGAATATTGGCTTTGATCAATGGAAATGTATTAGCCACTTCTCATATATTCTGGCTTCTGTTGTTGGCGATACGTTGATGGCCTTTTTTCTTGGATAAGTAGAAAACGGAAAGAAGTGAAGGAGAATATTTGTGTGAAGAATAGGAAAAGTAAATTCAAGGATTGATAAAAGTATATAAAAATAAAGATAAATAAATGTGTAGTAAGTAAATAATTATATTTCCCCAATCATATCTCTAAATATAAACAATTGTTAATTATTACTATAAAATATATTAGGTATTCCTTTCGCTTATCTATGTGATATTATGTTTTCTATTGTTGTTTTGCTGTATTGTTAATAAATGTGAATAAATCTTTTTTAAAAATTTTAAACTTGGAATACAATTGCGAGTTTACTTTTTCGGACAGGGCTTTTTCGAACTCTGCTTGCAAAACAGTAGGTTCCTCCATCCCTTTCCTGATCCCGAACTTCTTAAATTGTCTTTACATTTTAATTAACCCAATTTTTAATAATAAAAATATATAAAACATAGTTAACACTCCAATTTATATTTTGGTAGAAAAATTAAATTTTCAACTCAATTTTAAAAAAAGTGATTTTTTTCCAAAATAAGGAGAATGTGAAGTGGGCGGCGCAAAATCTTTGTCAAGGGTCAAGTCGCCCTGAATTTATTCTTCGGGTCGCCTTGAATTTAGTCTACGAGCCCAATTTTGTTTTTTGAAAAAACATAAAAATATATAAAATTACAAAAATTATTTTCTAAATTTTAAAAAATATTTTAAATTATATTTTCGATACAGAACACATACCATTCGATCCGTCTCGACGACCAACACTCTAGGTTAAACTGAGATATTCAATTCAATTTACTTATATTACTTTTGACATTCAGATAAAATAAAACGTGACTATAATTAAATCACAAGTTTTGTATATTGTTTGGAGACATTTGAATGGAGTGTGACTTTGATAAAATATGTGACTTTGATAAAAGTTAGGTTAATATTGTTTAGAAGCTTTGGAAATAATTCGATTGAAGATTTTTGTAATTTAGGGCGGTTCTCTTACTTGAACCCCTAGCTCAGGGTTAACCCTTATACAAAAAAATCAACCCAGAACACGAAGCTTACCCGTAGCTGTGGGTAAATTGCCAACAACCCTATTCTATGAATATCCTGTTTTAGCTCCATCTACGTGAATCTTTTCTCTTATTCTTCATTATCTAACATAGGCCCTTTCCTATGTTTTAGCTCCATCTACGTGAATCTTTTCTCTTATTCTTCATTATCTAACATAGGCCCTTTCCTATGTTTTAGCTCCATCTACGTGAATCTTTTCTCTTATTCTTCATTATCTAACATAGGCCCTTTCCTATGTTTTAGCTCCATCTACGTGAATCTTTTCTCTTATTCTTCATTATCTAACATAGGCCCTTTCCTATGTTTTAGCTCCATCTACGTGAATCTTTTCTCTTATTCTTCATTATCTAACATAGGCCCTTTCCTATGTTTTAGCTCCATCTACGTGAATCTTTTCTCTTATTCTTCATTATCTAACATAGGCCCTTTCCTATGTTTTAGCTCCATCTACGTGAATCTTTTCTCTTATTCTTCATTATCTAACATAGGCCCTTTCCTATGTTTTAGCTCCATCTACGTGAATCTTTTCTCTTATTCTTCATTATCTAACATAGGCCCTTTCCTATGTTTTAGCTCCATCTACGTGAATCTTTTCTCTTATTCTTCATTATCTAACATAGGCCCTTTCCTATGTTTTAGCTCCATCTACGTGAATCTTTTCTCTTATTCTTCATTATCTAACATAGGCCCTTTCCTATGTTTTAGCTCCATCTACGTGAATCTTTTCTCTTATTCTTCATTATCTAACATAGGCCCTTTCCTATGTTTTAGCTCCATCTACGTGAATCTTTTCTCTTATTCTTCATTATCTAACATAGGCCCTTTCCTATGTTTTAGCTCCATCTACGTGAATCTTTTCTCTTATTCTTCATTATCTAACATAGGCCCTTTCCTATGTTTTAGCTCCATCTACGTGAATCTTTTCTCTTATTCTTCATTATCTAACATAGGCCCTTTCCTATGTTTTAGCTCCATCTACGTGAATCTTTTCTCTTATTCTTCATTATCTAACATAGGCCCTTTCCTATGTTTTAGCTCCATCTACGTGAATCTTTTCTCTTATTCTTCATTATCTAACATAGGCCCTTTGCTATGTTTTAGCTCCATCTACGTGAATCTTTTCTCTTATTCTTCATTATCTAACATAGGCCCTTTGCTATGTTTTAGCTCCATCTACGTGAATCTTTTCTCTTATTCTTCATTATCTAACATAGGCCCTTTCCTATGTTTTAGCTCCATCTACGTGAATCTTTTCTCTTATTCTTCATTATCTAACATAGGCCCTTTCCTATGTTTTAGCTCCATCTACGTGAATCTTTTCTCTTATTCTTCATTATCTAACATAGGCCCTTTGCTATGTTTTAGCTCCATCTACGTGAATCTTTTCTCTTATTCTTCATTATCTAACATAGGCCCTTTGCTATGTTTTAGCTCCATCTACGTGAATCTTTTCTCTTATTCTTCATTATCTAACATAGGCCCTTTCCTATGTTTTAGCTCCATCTACGTGAATCTTTTCTCTTATTCTTCATTATCTAACATAGGCATAGGCCCTTTGCTATGTTTTAGCTCCATCTACGTGAATCTCCATCTACGTGAATCTTTTCTCTTATTCTACATTATCTAACATAGGCCCTTTCCTATGTTTTAGCTCCATCTACGTGAATCTTTTCTCTTATTCTTCATTATCTAACATAGGCCCTTTCCTATGTTTTAGCTCCATCTACGTGAATCTTTTCTCTTATTCTTCATTATCTAACATAGGCCCTTTCCTATGTTTTAGCTCCATCTACGTGAATCTTTTCTCTTATTCTTCATTATCTAACATAGGCCCTTTCCTATGTTTTAGCTCCATCTACGTGAATCTTTTCTCTTATTCTTCATTATCTAACATAGGCCCTTTCCTATGTTTTAGCTCCATCTACGTGAATCTTTTCTCTTATTCTTCATTATCTAACATAGGCCCTTTCCTATGTTTTAGCTCCATCTACGTGAATCTTTTCTCTTATTCTTCATTATCTAACATAGGCCCTTTCCTATGTTTTAGCTCCATCTACGTGAATCTTTTCTCTTATTCTTCATTATCTAACATAGGCCCTTTCCTATGTTTTAGCTCCATCTACGTGAATCTTTTCTCTTATTCTTCATTATCTAACATAGGCCCTTTCCTATGTTTTAGCTCCATCTACGTGAATCTTTTCTCTTATTCTTCATTATCTAACATAGGCCCTTTCCTATGTTTTAGCTCCATCTACGTGAATCTTTTCTCTTATTCTTCATTATCTAACATAGGCCCTTTCCTATGTTTTAGCTCCATCTACGTGAATCTTTTCTCTTATTCTTCATTATCTAACATAGGCCCTTTCCTATGTTTTAGCTCCATCTACGTGAATCTTTTCTCTTATTCTTCATTATCTAACATAGGCCCTTTCCTATGTTTTAGCTCCATCTACGTGAATCTTTTCTCTTATTCTTCATTATCTAACATAGGCCCTTTCCTATGTTTTAGCTCCATCTACGTGAATCTTTTCTCTTATTCTTCATTATCTAACATAGGCCCTTTCCTATGTTTTAGCTCCATCTACGTGAATCTTTTCTCTTATTCTTCATTATCTAACATAGGCCCTTTCCTATGTTTTAGCTCCATCTACGTGAATCTTTTCTCTTATTCTTCATTATCTAACATAGGCCCTTTCCTATGTTTTAGCTCCATCTACGTGAATCTTTTCTCTTATTCTTCATTATCTAACATAGGCCCTTTCCTATGTTTTAGCTCCATCTACGTGAATCTTTTCTCTTATTCTTCATTATCTAACATAGGCCCTTTCCTATGTTTTAGCTCCATCTACGTGAATCTTTTCTCTTATTCTTCATTATCTAACATAGGCCCTTTCCTATGTTTTAGCTCCATCTACGTGAATCTTTTCTCTTATTCTTCATTATCTAACATAGGCCCTTTCCTATGTTTTAGCTCCATCTACGTGAATCTTTTCTCTTATTCTTCATTATCTAACATAGGCCCTTTCCTATGTTTTAGCTCCATCTACGTGAATCTTTTCTCTTATTCTTCATTATCTAACATAGGCCCTTTCCTATGTTTTAGCTCCATCTACGTGAATCTTTTCTCTTATTCTTCATTATCTAACATAGGCCCTTTCCTATGTTTTAGCTCCATCTACGTGAATCTTTTCTCTTATTCTTCATTATCTAACATAGGCCCTTTCCTATGTTTTAGCTCCATCTACGTGAATCTTTTCTCTTATTCTTCATTATCTAACATAGGCCCTTTCCTATGTTTTAGCTCCATCTACGTGAATCTTTTCTCTTATTCTTCATTATCTAACATAGGCCCTTTCCTATGTTTTAGCTCCATCTACGTGAATCTTTTCTCTTATTCTTCATTATCTAACATAGGCCCTTTCCTATGTTTTAGCTCCATCTACGTGAATCTTTTCTCTTATTCTTCATTATCTAACATAGGCCCTTTCCTATGTTTTAGCTCCATCTACGTGAATCTTTTCTCTTATTCTTCATTATCTAACATAGGCCCTTTCCTATGTTTTAGCTCCATCTACGTGAATCTTTTCTCTTATTCTTCATTATCTAACATAGGCCCTTTCCTATGTTTTAGCTCCATCTACGTGAATCTTTTCTCTTATTCTTCATTATCTAACATAGGCCCTTTCCTATGTTTTAGCTCCATCTACGTGAATCTTTTCTCTTATTCTTCATTATCTAACATAGGCCCTTTCCTATGTTTTAGCTCCATCTACGTGAATC